ATTGGAAGAAGATACAGGCGTACCTTGCGGAGAGGGGGTGGGCAGACAAGAGACGAGAACATGGTCAACAAGGGGGAGACTTGGGAGAGGAAGACCAAGATGACCCTGAGCACGTGGCGCAGGAAGAGAACGAGCAGGCTGAAAGGGAGTGTGAGGTGCCTGAGAGTGGAGGTGTCCATGGTGGTCGTCGGGTTGACGACGACAGGCCTGCGGAGGTTCCGATCGATGTTGAGAGGGAGGCGGAGCGTGAACGCAGAGCGTGACCGCGGAGCGTTGAGGGGAGATAAGAGAGCGGTCACTGGCACTGGGACATCGTCGAAGAGGAGGACTTCTTCGCAGCCCATTCCGCCGACAGGAGCCGCGAAGAAGTTTCGTCAGTTGCGCATGGAGGAGTCGTTCGACCCTAAATGGCAGCAGGACCTGGACGCCTATTTCCTGCAGTGGTTCTATGTTAGCGGCATCCCGTTTCACGCGGCGGGGAGGCCACAGTACAACACCTTCAAGAGGCACCTCGCGACATGCCCCCCTCGAGTGCATCCGACTCTGCCCAACCTTCGCCGTATCTCTGGCGTTGGTATTGTGCAGCAGCACAAGGACGTTGCGGAGATGCTCGCGACGCTGAGGAGAGATGTGGCGGCGACAGGAGCGACGATCCTCTCACGGACGATCGCAAATCCATCTCTGCTGATCAGATAGTCAACTTTTTGGCAGCCGGGTCTTCGGGGGCGTACCTATTGAGGAGAGTGCAGAGGGACGGTGCTGAGCAGGACACGGCGGCTGTGGTTGTGCAGCGGTGGAAGAAGGTGTTAAATGACTTCAGCCTCGAAAATGTGAATGCTATTTGTACGGACTCTGTGGGGACATACATCGAGGCCGCGAAGCTCCTTGCGCAGGACAAGGATCTTCGATACAGTCACATCACTTGGCTCCCGTGTGCGGTGCATGTCTGCAACCTGATGTTGTCGGACATTGGGAAGGATGGACGAGATGGTGTCGTTGGACACAGGGAGGACACGATCATCAGAGCGAGGGCTGTCGTGCGATTCATTCGGTCACACAGGGCCGCCCTCGCCCTTTTCAGGCGATTCTTCGCACGTCACACTGCCAAAGGGCAGACAGCGCAGTCGTCAGCTTCTAGAGGCACCTCTGGTCGCGGTCGGGAGCTCATTTACCCAGTGCAGACCAGATTCGCTACACATTACCTGATGTTGGAGCGGTTGTTGGAGCGATGTCATGCACTCGAGGAGATGATGATCAACGACGAGTGGTTGCGACAGCTGTGGAGACGGAGCTTGTGGCTTCAGTCGAGGTGGGTGCGGCAGCAAATCAGATTCGCTGCGTTTTGGGACGATGTCAAGGACATTGTGGAGTTGATGACACCTGTCATGCAGTTGTTGCGCAGACTCGACCGTGGGGGGCGTGTGATGTCGCGCTTGTGGTCATGGTCGGAGAGGGTCATTCAGAGGGTTGCACAGACTCCTACCTGATGCACCAGCTGTGCGGAGTTGGACGCCCTTGTCAGAGGTTTGCAGGCGAGGAGGAGGCATATGTTGGAGCCTGCTCATTGCATGGCCCACCTGCTTAACCCACGGCACAGGAGTATTGCATACTTTGAGGGGGCACGCAGGACAGACCATGAGAGGGAGTTGGTAGAGGAGGTTGACATTTACCTTCGTCAGCAGGCAGGACCGGACAGACAGTTGTACGAGGATTTCAGGACAACTTTGAGGGAGTTCCACATTCGAGAGGGCGATTGTGCGTATGGCGGTCGCGACGGGGACCGAGATGAGGACACTTGCAGGGGGGAGAAGGAGACATCGGCGGTTGCTCAGTGGTGGGTGCAGTGCGGGGACGGTGTGCCTCTGTTGCAGAGTATCGCGGTTCGCCTGATGCACACGTGGACATGTGCCTCTCCTACGGAGAGGAACTGGGCGGTCCACGTGCGCATTCAGGTGAAGCGGTGAAACAAGCTTGGTTTTACCAAGCTCACTCGTTTGGTGGAGATATCCACCAATTTGAGACTGCTTCGATGCCACACGAGGGGGGTGGGGTATGTTCTCCCATGGGAGGACGAGGATGTCGTCACGGAGGAGGAGAAACCGGAGCCACGTGACTCGGGAGTCCGCCCTGCGGACAAGGTTACTGATGAGCAGCTGGACAGGCAGGTGCGGAAGGGGCGGAAGGACTCTCTCACTCGACAACCTGCGAGCGTGGATAGATATTTTGGCAGGAGAGTGACTATTCTTCTGCTACACGAGGAGGACGCGGTGTACGACCTAGAGCCCGACCCTCTCACGCAGGATGAGATTGAGGAGGAGCCTTGGTCTGATCCTGATGACCTGGATGCGGAGTCGGGCTGGTCATCCGACGATGATGCCCCCCTGTCACAGATGCGATGTGAGACGCGAGGGTCGACCTTGGCTCGTCCTCGTCCTTCCCCTCGCCCGCGGGATGGTGCTGCGACTGGACCTGCAGTGGTTGGGAGGCCAGTTCGTGCAGATGCACAGTGTCAGGGCCTGTCCATTCGACAGCGACAGCACATTTCCATCGACTCTGACAGCGACGACGATGATGGAGGGTACGAGGGCAGCAGCGAGTCTGAGGACGACATGGATTTCGATAGCGGTGCGGGTGACGCCCCAAGGGGAGGTGTTGAGGGTCCCCGAGACATTGCTGTCGAGGAGCAGCACAATCAGCGACATTCTGCCAGGTTGGCGGAGGAGAGGGGTCGTGGGGCGGGGGGGTCAGCCAAGGGTGGAGGAGACGGAGGATCAGGGGGACAGATTTTACTTTCACGTTAGAGGGGGAGATCTGAGGCTGGCCGCGGCCTTCTGGCCACTACAGGGGATTTAGCCGCGGCGCCCGACTCGTTGTCCAATATTTTGGGTATGTCGATGGGACCTCCGCTGACCGCCGGTGATGCTAGACAGACCCCCGTTGCCACGGACAATACACCCATCAGCCAGGTTGTACGAGGATTGGATACTGACGGGGGTGTCTCGAGCAGTTTGTTGATGGAGGCGGCTCAGGGGATGGAGGGTACAGCCAGCCAGCCCATTCAGAGCACGGGGGATGTTGTTCTTTTTTCGCCCGTGCAGGATACGAATGTGGAGACGGATGCGGACAGGAGGGACCGAGAGGAGAGACAGCGAGCGCTAGCGCTTGCTCAGTCATGCCCTGTAACACAAGACATCAGAGCGAGTTTGGATGCTGCTCGCGCCCTTGAGACGGGCGTCGCAGTCGTCGCCGAGACGGATGTTCCTGACAGCTGTGGCATGGGGGTGCAGACGCATGGTGTCGACGAGGTTGAGGAGGGGGACGCCTCCTGACCCGCGCAGGGCGATGGCGGTGTTTGCAGACCGGGACTTCGACCGATTGGTGGAGAGGATGACGATGTGGAGGGAGGTGGTGATGGGCCTGTCGGTGGAGGGGGTGGACCTCACGGAGGATCTGAGGCAGCCGGTGTGCATGATGGATGCGAGGAGGACAGACAGCCCGCCGGTGGAGGGGAGCAGAGGATGAGGGACGAGGTAGTGCGTATGCTGCAGAAATGCAGCAGCGTGCAGTTGACGCACCTTGCGAGCAGCCAGTCGATTCAGTGGTCGCCGACCACCCTGACAGGCTTGCAGAGGGTATTTTTGTGTTGCCTTTAGGTGGCGCCATGCCCGCTGCAATTTTGGAGTGCGAAGGTAGAGAGGATCCTCTTACGGCTGATCGGCGGGGGCGGATGGAGGATGCCAGTCGGAGAGCTTTGGGAGACCCCCCACCATATGCGCCATGTAGCCCGTCAGTGCCCTCCTCCATGACAGGCGTCAGCCCTCCCCCTTGGGATCCTATGGCGCAGATGGAGAGCATTAGGGCCGCATGCGCAGCAAATACGAGGTCGTGGGATAGTGGTCGTGGTGGATCTGAGAGTTGTTCTTCTGTAGGAGGGACACAGATGGTGGAGGGTAGAGGTTTAGACAGTCTTTCTCCGCAATCGCAGATGAAGACTCGGCCTCATGGTTTAGGCTCTGTGAGGAAGGTCACTCAGGCGATGCAAGACATCCAGCCAGGATTAGCTGCCATACCCGCATCTATGAGACCTCCACCGTTGCCGCGAGGGGGAGACGTTGAGGTGGATGCAGCAGGTAGCAGGTCGCGTTTGGATAGTAATGGGGTCGGCCCTTCGACACAGCGCATTGTTAGCGTGACTGGTGCATCGACACAGCGGACGGAGACCGCCGCAGGGGGGGCACGTGCGCTGACCACTTCGACGGCGGACGATCCACCTCCGACCCGTCCACCGGATAGAGGAACGGCGGGTCGCATCTTGGAGGAGGATGTTAGGGACAGGAGACCACGCACTCCTTTTTTAGCAACTGATCCGTATTCCTCAGGGACTGACTGTTTGGAGATGCCTCGGGGACAACGGAGGAGGCAGGATGTCCATGGGATTCTGCTCAGAGACATGGCGACAACCGAGGTGGAGGAGAGAGAGAGAGAGAGAGAGTTGTGCGGGCACAGGAGGCCGCTCGTAGAGGGGCGCAGCACCAGGCTAGGAGTGTGGGTGATAGAGTTGTTGGTGGCCGGGCAAGGGTGGATGTCGTTGACGACGACGATTAGTTGTTTGTGTACTCTCGACTTTCTTTTGGTCTGTATATTATATGTGGCAAGTTCTCTTTCTTTTAATTAGGACTTCTCATTTTCAGTTAGGTGCAATAGTTTACGTAGATATGGAGCTGCAGGTAGGCAGGATGTACTATAGTGTTTTGTTGATAGTTGGTAGATAATAAACATGTTTTCACACATGTTGTTCATGTCATAGGATTTGGTTTACGTTTTGGTGACGTAGGCCAGAGACATTAGACAGCACATGACGAGAGAGAGAGAGAGAGAGAGAGAGAGAGAGAGAGAGAGAGAGAGAGAGAGAGAGAGAGAGAGAGAGAGAGAGAGAGAGAG